CCGGCCCCTCTCAGCGCCAAGGCCTAGGCCCGATCCTCCGTCCCGCCCCCACCTCGCGCACGGAGGCGCCGTCCGCGATAACGATCTCCTCCTTGTCCTTGGGGGTCTTCACCGTGACGCGGATGAGGGCCCCGCCGGGACCTCCCAGCTCCGGCCCGCCGGGGCCCGGCCCGCCGCCGCCGCCGCCGCCGCTCGGCTCCGCCATCTTCGCCGCCCGCCCCGCCAGCCCGGGCCGATAGAGAAAAAGGCGGGGACGGAGCGCCGCTACGGCCCGCGTCGCCGCCGAGCGCCCCCTTGCGGCGCGGCGGACCGAGAGGTGACGGAACGCCGAACGGAGCGCGGAACGGAACCTCGCTCCGCGCTACGCCGAGCCGCCGAGGGCCGCGGCCTGCACCGAGCACCGCCCCGCGCCCCGCCGCGCCCCGCGGGCTGCCATGCTGCGGCCCAAAGCGCTGACGCAGGTGCTGAGCCAGGCCAACACCGGCGGCGTCCAGAGCACGCTGTGAGCGGGGCCGGGGGGCGGCGGGGGGGGGACCTCGAGGCGTGACCGTGCGGCCGTTAGCGAGCTCGTCGTTCGGGGGCTCGTTGGGGGCTCGTTCGGGAGCTCGGCGGTGCCCGTCTGTTCCAGGCTGCTGAATAACGAGGGCTCGCTCTTGGCCTACTCGGGTTATGGGGACACGGACGCCCGCGTGACGGCGGCCATCGCCAGCAACATCTGGGTGGCGTACGACAAGAACGGGCACCACGCCTTCAACGAGGACAACCTCCGCTTCATCCTCATGGACTGCATGGTACGGCGGGACCCGGGTGGGGTCCCCGTTGGGATCTGTGTGGGGTCCCCTGCAGGATCCATGTGGGACCCTCATTGATATCTGTGTGGGACCCCGACAGGCTCCATGCAGAATTCCCTGCAGGCTCTGTGGGACCCTCATTGGGATCCGTGTGGGACCCCCGTGTGTGTCCCCCGGCAGGATTCATGTGAGACCCCGGTGGGATCCATGTGCGACCCCCACTGGGATCTGTGTGTCTCCCCCATTGGGATCCGTATCCCCCCCCTGCAGGCTCCATGTGGGACTCCCTGAAGGCTCTGTGTGACCCCCAGTGGGCTCCATGTGGGACACCCAGCAGGTTCCATGCAGGACCCCCAGTGGGCACCGTGTGTTCTCTGGTGGGCTCCATGCAGGACCCCCAGCAGGCTCTGTGGGATCCCCAGAGGGCTTCGAGGTGTTCACCAGCAGGTTCCCTGTGGGATGCCCAGCAGGCACCATGCAAGACCCCCAGGGGCTCCGTGTGACCCCCAGCAGGTTCCATGAGACCCCCAGAAGGCTCCGTGTGACCCCCAGTGGGCTCAGTGCTGTCCTGGTGCTGTGGGGTCCCGCTAGGGGTCCTGCGTGGAATGTGCTGAGGGTCCCACATGGCGCCCACTGGGAGGCACACAGTGCCTGCTGGGGGTCCTGCATGAAGGCAGCTGGGGGACGCGGGGTCAGCATGGAGCCTGCTGGGGAACGCCTCAGAGCCCACAGGGTTCCCATTGGGGGTCCTGCATGGAGCCTGCTGGGGGTCCCACATGGGGCCCAGTGGGGTCACATGAAACCTGCTGGGGGACACATGGAGCCCTTGGGGGTCCCGGATGGTGCCTGCTGGGCATCCTACACGGTGAACACCTCGGGGCCCACTGGGGGTCCTGCATGGAACCTGCTGATGGTCCCATATGGAGCCAGCTGGGGGTCACTGTGGAGCTGCATGGAAACCTGATGTGAGAGCAGTGTGTGCTCAGAGCCTGAAGCCCCCAGGCTGCATCAGGGGCTGGCAGTGGGGCACAGAGAGGCCATCCCCCTCTGCTCTGCTGCTGTGAGCCCCATCCGGAGCAGCGTGTCCATGGCGGATGGACTGGAGCTGTGGCAGCGGGGCTGGCTGGGGTGGAGGGGCTCCAGGGAGAGCTCAGCCGACGGGAGGGGAGCGATGGGAACGTGGTGTGGGGCTGAATGAAAGGAGGAGGGCCCCGGAACTGCTCAGAGCTGTGGGTCCCCCATCCCTGGAGGTGCACGAGGCCGCTGGGGGGCTCTGAGCAGCTGGAGTGGGGGGCGGGCAGCCCGCGGGATGGGGTTGGAAGCGGCTGATCGTTGCGGTCCCTTCAACCCAACCATGCGGCGATTCTCTCCGGGCAGGAGGGGCGCGTGGCCATCACCCGCGTGGCAAACCTCCTGCTGTGCATGTATGCCAAGGAAACGGTCGGATTTGGGATGCTGAAAGCCAAGGTGAGGGGGTGGGGAGGGAGATGGGGGGGGGCGGCATTCATGCGAGGTGTGAAAGAGCCACGGGGTGAATGCTGGGGGGAAGAGGATGGGAGCGGGGGGGAAGCGGCCGTGCTGGGGATGCCTCCTTCCTCTGTGCAGATTTTGAGGTGTCCCAACTCCAGCTCAGCCACAAAACTGCACTTTTTTGAGGCTCTGTGGTGAAATTTAAATCAAAACGAGAACCGTCTGCATGGATCCCAAGTGGCATTGGGGCAGGACGAGGGTTTGCCCATGGTGTGTGGGTGCTGGGGGTGCGGCCCCGTGTGCTCAGCACCCCTCAGCACTCATCCCTGCCTGCAGGCGCAGGCGCTGGTGCAGTACCTGGAGGAGCCGCTGACGCAGGTGGCCGCATCCTGAGCCGCATCCTGAGCACGGAGCCGCGGTGCCACGGCTGAGCAGCAACGCTTGCGTGGGGGGAACCACGATGGGAGCCCGGCTGCGCTGCTGGGCGGCAGGGAAGGGGGAATAAAACCACGTGTGGTGCTCGTGTCCTTCTGAGTGTCTCTCGGGTCAATGGAGGGTGTGAGGGTGGGACGGGGCCGGTCGTGTGCCCGGCAAACTGGGCTGAGGGCTCAGGGTCTGTGGTGCGGCGCTGCTGGGAGCCCCGTGCTGCCCCCGCGTTCCGTCACTCCCAGCAGAGGTGCGGAAGGCCATTGGTGCCCGGCCAGCTCTGCGCTGAGCCCAGGCCGCGCTGAGCCCAGGCCCCACTGCCCCAGCCTGCCCTGCGCTGCGTGGCCTTGGCAGCCAGGACCGGGCTCGGCTCCTCCTCCGGGTGCCCCGTGACAGTCCCAGGGGTGACATTACCTGCCCAACCTGCGCCACCGCTCCCACGCCTGGAGTCAGCCAGCCTGGGCCTCCCTGCTCCACCAACGCCGCCTGCGTCGCCTTCGCTCCCTGACTGCGCTCGCCGCTGGGACCCCCCTCACTGCTGGGACCCCCCCTCATCGCTGGGACCCCCCCTCATTGCTGGGACCCTCCTCACCACTGGGACCCCCCCTCATTGCTGGGACCCCCCTCACTGCTGGGACCCCCCTCACTGCTGGGACCCCGCTCACACCCTGGCAGTAAGGAGACTTTGCCCCCCGTGTTCCCTGCAGCCCGCCCCACTCCGTGCTCTGCAGAGAGAAGGAGGAAACCTCTGGCAGAGGGAAGGAGGAAACCGGGCGGCAGCTGGGAGCTATGAGCAGTGCAGAGGAGGACTACAACTTCGTCTTTAAAGGTGAGGGGGTTCCCAGAAGGACGGGGCAGGAGGACTGGGGGACCCCGGCTCTGGAGTGCCCTCCCCAGTCTGTGGATTCCCAAAGCAAGATGGGACCAGGGCTGTGCTTGTGGCTGATGTGGCCCTGCAGAGGTCCTGGGATGGGGGGGGGGGCACTGGCCTCAGCCATGTCCCATAGGTGGGGGGAAGTTGGGGTGTCCCATGGTGGTGGGGTTGGGGTGCTGCCTGGTGTCCCATGGTGGTGGGATTGGGGTGCCCCTTGGTGGTGGGGTCAGGGTGCTGCCTGGTGTCCCATGGTGCTGGTGGGGAGGCCGTGGTGCTGCCTGGTGGGATTGGGGTGTCCCATGGTGGTGAGGTCAGGATGCTGTCTGGTGTCCCACAGTAGTGGGATTGGGGTGCTGCCTGGTGTCCCATAGTGCTGTTGAGGAGGTCAGGGTGCTGCCTGGTGTCCCATAGTGCTGGTGGGAAGGTTGGGGTGCTGTCTGGTGTTGCATAATGGTGCGATTGGGGTGTCCCATGGTGGTGGGGTCGGGGTGCTGCCTGGTGTCCCATGGTGATGGTGGGGAGGTTGGGGTGCTGCCTGGTGTCCCATAGTGCTGTTGAGGAGGTTGGGGTGCTGTCTGGTGTTGCATAGTGGTGGGATTGGGGTGTCCCATGGTGGTGGGGTCGGGGTGCTGCCTGGTGTCCCATGGTAGTGATGGGGAGGTCAGGGTGTGGCCTGGAAGTACAGGGAACCCTCAGCCACCCTGAGCCGTCAGCAGGCAGGGAAGGGACGCAGATGGGGACACACACACATCTGCAGCTGCCACAGCAGCAGATTGGGCGCAGGGAGCAGCGGGCTCCGAAGTCATCCCGCTGCAGTGCCAGCTGGGGGCATCCTGTGCTCTGTGCCGACCCCCTGAGGAGCAGCAGCCCGGGGCACTGGGTGCCACCACAGCGATGTCCCCGTGGCTCCGCAGGACCCTCACCCCGCTTCTGCGGCCGGGACACCCCGAGCAACGTGGGGGCTGATGGAGACCCCCGAGAGGGGCTGAAAGCTCCCAGCATGGGGTGGGGACTGCGTGTGCTTAAGGATCAACTGCGCTGGGGCTGAAGCCGTCTGTCTGCCCATCTCTGGGCTGCTCAAGAACCACAGGGGGCAGGGGCAGCGTGGGCAGGGGGCTGCTTTGCTCCTTTTTCTTCCTTTTCTGTAAGGCTCCCAGGGGTGTCTGCGCACCACGTGGCTGCAGGGACGCCCCAGTGCCACAGTGTTGCAGCAGCAGGATGCCAGTGGTCTGGTCGAGGCCAGGAAGGGTTGTCTGAGCTGTCCTGAATCCAGTGGGATCCCTCTTCTCTCCTCAGTGGTTCTGATTGGGGAATCCGGCGTGGGCAAAACCAACCTGCTGTCCCGCTTCACCCGCAACGAGTTCAACCACGACAGCCGCACCACCATCGGCGTGGAGTTCTCCACCCGCACTGTCCTGGTGGGAGACGCCGCGGTGAAGGCACAGATCTGGGACACGGCCGGGCTGGAGCGGTACCGCGCCATCACCTCTGCGTAAGGGGGGATGGCACCCGAGGGTGCCCTGTGGATCAGTGGGTGCTCCATGGGTGGGTGGGTGGCCTATAGATGGATGGGTGCTCTATAGGTGGATGGGTGCCCCATGGATGGGTGTCCCATGGAGGAGTGGGTGACCTATAGATGGGTGGGTGCCCCATGGATGGGTGGGTGCCCTATGGATGGATGTCCATTGGGTGCCCCATGGATGAGTGCCGTATGGATGAATGAGTGCCCCATGGATGGATGGGTGGGTGCCCCATGAATGGATGTCCCATTGGGTGCCCCATGGATGGGTGGGTGTCTCATAGACGGGCGCCCCATTGAGTACCCCACGGATGGATTCCCTGTGGATGAACGAATGCCCCATGGATGCACGTCCCCGTGGGTTCCCCATGGATGGCTGCCCCACGCTCACATCCCTGCGAGGATGCTCCATGGCTGCCTGCGGCACAGGGCAAAGATGGGCTGCTCCCGCAGGTACTACCGTGGGGCTGTGGGCGCTCTGGTCGTCTTTGACATCACCAAGCACCAGACATACGACGTGGTGGAGCGCTGGCTGAAGGAGCTCTATGACCACGCCGAGGCCAGCATCGTGGTCATGCTGGTGGGCAACAAGAGCGACCTGGCGCAGGCGCGGGAGGTGCCCACAGAGGAGGCGAAAATGTTTGCAGGTACGGCGTTGTGCCACCTCGACGTGGAGACCCCAAAGGGAACCCAGTGGGGTCCGCAGGGTCTCAGGGACCGCTGTCCTTGCAGAGAACAACGGGCTGCTCTTCACTGAGACGTCGGCGCTGGACTCCACCAACGTCGAGCAGGCGTTTGAGACTGTCCTGAAGGGTGGGTGCCGGGGATGCTCCGCGCCTCTCCTCCGCCCTGCCCCGCCTGAGCTCCCTGCCCGGTTTCGGTGTTGTCTTTCTGGCTGGTTGGGTTTCCGGCTCTTTGTGCTGGGCGTTCCGCTCTGGTTCCATTGCCGGGGCCCCGGGCAGCACCATGGGCGCCTTGTCCCCCTGTAATCCACGGTCCAGTCCGGATGTGCCGCCTGACTCAGTGTCTGCAGCTCTGCAGAGCAACCCGCAGGGATGTGGGGCAGAGGGGGGCAATGGCAGCTGGGAGCATCTCCCCAGGAATGGGAATGTAGGGCAGGGGCACCTCAAGGTACGCTGAGCCGTGCCCTGCTGGGCCGTGCCCTGCTGTGCCCTGCCATGCCCTGCTGTGCCATGCCCTGCTGTGCTGTGCCACACTGTGCCCTGCTCTGCTGTGCTGTGCCCTGCTGTGCCATGCCATGCTGTGCTGTGCCATGCTGTGACCTGCTGTGCCGTGCCGTGCTGTGCCATGCTGTGCTGTGCCCTGCCGTGCCATGCTGTGCTATGCCTTGCTGTGTCTTGCTGTGCCATGCTGTGCCATGCCATGCTGTGCCCTGCTGTGCTGTGCCCTGCTGTGCCAAGCTGTGCCGTGCTGTGCTGTGCCATGGCACGCTTCGATGTTCTGTACTGAGCCCTGTTAAGCTGTGCCGTGCCGTGCTGTGCCATCCCCACGAGCTTCCAGCCTTGATCCTCGCGGGGCCAGAGAGAAGCCGAGGGAAGCAGGGGAAGTTGCAGGGTGTTCCCTGTCCCCCGCCTCGGCCGTGGGGACGCAACCGGAGGGAGAACGGCTTCCCCCCGCAGAGCGGCTCCCAGCGCTGCGCCTGCCGAGCACCGAGCCGTGCCGGCGCCCCAAGCAGACGCGGCCCCGCTTTGTGTTTCCGCAGAGATCTTCAGCAAAGTGCAGAAGCAGAAGCAGAGGAGCAGCCAAAGCAGCACGGTGTCACTCGGCAGCGAGAGCCCCGACGGCGCTGCCCCAGCGCAGGCGGAAAAGCGCCCGTGCTGCGTGGCCATCTGAGCTCGTCCCGAGGCTCGCGGCCGCCGGCACAGCTCGGTGGCGACCGACCCGCCGTGCCGCCCGTTGTCCCGGCGCGGCGGCAGCCCGGAGCGCGGCCGTGCTCCGCCGTGAGCAGCGCGAGGCGTCGCCGCAGCTCCGCTCGATGTCGGTCCGTCCCCGCGGCGCAGATGCGCTGAGTGCCGCCGCCGCTTCTCCGCCGGGCCGCGCGGCTGCGGGAGCCGCTGCCGTTGTGGCGTTGCTACCCCGGTGCCGTCGCGCTCCGTCTCTGTGCCGCCCACCACGGATGCGCCCGTCCCCACCGCTCTCCAGCCCCGCTGGGAGCCGCTCGGCGGTCGCTGTATCCCGAGCCCGACGGGGCTCTAAGAAAGAACCCTAAGGGAGGAAGTAGCTGTGCCCACCCTGCGCGCCTCTGTCCCCATCTCGGTGTGCCGTGGGCCCGTCCGACGGCACAACGCGGCCCGCGGCCCCTCTGCTCGCCTGGCGCAGCCATTAAAGGACTGAAAGGCAGCTGTGCTGGGCTGGGATCGCTGACTGCTCGTGGCCTCGTCCCCGGTGCCCCGCCTGGCTCACAGCCCAGCCCCACGTGCGTTCCTTCCCCCATGCAGCCTGTCTGTATTCCCATCCCATCCGTATCCCTATTCCGCCCCATTCCATCCCATTCCATCCCTATTGCCATCCCAATCCTATCTCCGATCCCACCTGTATTCCCGTCCCATCTCTATTCTTATCCCCATTCCAATCCCTGTTCCCATCCCATTCCTTCTGACTCCATTCCACTACATCTGATCCCATCCCCTTCCCCATCTTTATTCCCATCCCATCCCTATTCTAATTCCTGTTCCTATCCCCCCCTCCCCATTTTAATCCCTGTTCCCACCCCACTCCCTTCCACGCCGTTCCACTCCATCTAATCTCATCCCATCCCCAACCCAATCCCTGTTCCCATCCCATTCCTCCCCTCTCCATCTCGTCCCATTTCCACCTCGCAGCTCCCCCCTCACACCTGCCCCCAGCGGAGCACCTGGGCGGTGACGGGCAGCACCGACAGCCAATGGCTGCGAAGGAAGGAGAGTTGCGGGACCAATGGGAGCGCGGGGCTGCCCCCCGGGGCGGAGCGGGGCGGAAATCCCCGCTGCTCCCAGTGCGGCCGCGGCACTGCGCAGGATGCGGGGCAAGGATGAGGAGTACGACTTCCTCTTCAAGGGTGTGTGGGGCACGGGGACGGGGTTGGGGAAGGGGTTGAAGTTGGAATGTGGGCACTGGGATGGGTCGGGATGGGGTCGGAATTGGGCACGGGAATGGGGTTGGGAATGGGGTTGAGTTGGGTTGGGGATGGGGGTGGAGATGGGGATGGGATTGAATTGGGTTGGGGATGGGGGTGGGGGTGGTGATGGGGATGGGGATGAGATGGGGTTGAGTTGGGTTGGGGATGGGAATGGGGATGAGATTGGGATCGGGCACAGGAATGGGGTTGAGGATGGAGAGGGGGATGGGACTCCGCATGGGGCAGCACCGGAGTTGCTCGCAACAGGATCGGGGCAGGGGGCAGCCAACAACCCCACTCCCCCCCCCTCAAGCAGCACCAGCCGGGGTTGACCCCTCCCCACTGTGAGTCAGCCCCTCCTGCCAGGCCGGGCTGCCCCACCACCACGCACCCCCACCGAGGGGAATCCTATCCAGGGCTGTTTTGGGGGTCTCCCCGAACACCCTACAGCTTTCAGTGCCTTCTGCTGCTCACTGAGTTCTGTTTCCCCGCTGTCCCCGTGCCGGGGGGCTGCTCGGCCCACTGTAGCAAGTGGGAGCTGTGGGTCAGTCCCAGTTAACCACCCCCCCCCCCCCGGCTCGATTCCATCTGGGTGTTGGAGGACGAATGACACAGGCAGTTGGGGAATGAAAAGTAAATAAAATCAAAACCCGGTGAGTCACCAACTCGACAAACTTGAGAGGGGAGAAACAGGAGCAATGTCCCAGAACCTGTTTCACCGCATTCTACCAGAATGCGCTCATCCAGCCCACAGCCCGGGACTTAGGGCTCAGGGTGCTGCAGCCGGACCGCAATTTGGGTCCTCAGTTGGGTGCCCTCGGGGCTGGAGATGGGCTGGAGTCCCCTGCTGTGTTTATGGGGTTCCACCTGGAGCCCCCTGCTGTGTTTATGGGGCTCCACCTGGAGCCCCGTGTTGGGCAGATCCCAATAACCCCCCCGCTTGTTGATGGGTCCCCACTTGTGTTGAACTCTGGTGGTTCCCCATTCGAGCTGGGCTGTGGATGGCGATGCTTGGGGGGGGTTGACGCTGCGCTCCTTACACCCCAGTGGTGCTCATCGGGGACTCGGGCGTGGGGAAGAGCAACCTGCTGTCCCGCTTCACCCGCAACGAGTTCAACCTGGAGAGCAAGAGCACCATCGGGGTGGAGTTTGCCACCCGGAGCATCCAGGTGGACAACAAGACGGTGAAGGCACAGATCTGGGACACGGCCGGGCAGGAGCGGTACCGCGCCATCACCTCCGCGTGAGCGTCCCCCCCTCCCTGCGCCCTCACCCCATAACCTGGGCTCTGACCCCCCGCGCCCATCGCTGCCCCCAGGTACTACCGCGGGGCGGTGGGAGCGCTGCTGGTGTACGACATCGCCAAGTACCTGACGTACGAGAACGCCGAGCGCTGGCTGACAGAGCTGCAGGACCACGCTGACGCCAACATCGTCATCATGTTGGTGGGCAACAAGAGCGACCTGCGGCACCTGCGCGCCGTGCCCACCGACGAGGCCCGGAGCTTTGCAGGTAAATTCATCTCCCGTCGATCCCAGCATGTGTGGCGGTGCCGTCGTTGGGTCGGATGGGGTGATGGGCGGCCTGATCTTCGGGAACAATCAGCTCACGTTGGAGCTGGGTGGGCTTTAAGGTGCCCTCCAACCTCAGCCGTTCCATTTTTGCACCCCATGAGCTCCGCTGAGCTTTAAGGTGCCCTCCAACCCCCCATGAGCTCTGCTGGGCTTTAAGGTGCCCTCCAACCTCAGCCGTTCTGTGGTTGCCCCCCATGAGCTCTGCTGGGCTTTAAGGGGCCCTCCAACCTCAGCCGTTCTGTGGTTGCACCCCATGAGCTCTCCCCATTGCTGCAGAGAAGAATGGGCTCTCCTTCCTTGAGACGTCGGCTCTGGATTCCACCAACGTGGAGATGGCGTTCCACAACATCCTCTCCGGTGAGGATGGGGGGATGAGGTGGCTTTGGGGTTGTGTCCCCCCGGCATCCATTCTGTGAGCTGTGGGCTTGGGTCCAGAACGCTGCCATGGGGAGATGTGGGCGCTCCCAGCCCACCGAACCTGACTCGACCTTCATCCTAACAACAACCCTAACCAAACTCCAACCCAAACCCAACCTTAATCCCAACCCTAATCCTAACCCCAGCCTTAGCCCCAAACCTGATCCTTACCCCAAATCCTAATCCTAACCCCAGCCCCAACCCTAACCCCAACTCGAGCTTTAATCCTAACCCTAACTCCAACCTCAAACGCAACAATAACCCTAATCCTAATCCCAACCTTAACCTCATCCTGAATCCCAACCCTAACCTGAACCCTAATCTTAAACCTGGCCCTACTCTCAATCCCAACAGTAACACGGTGGGAACTGCAACCCCTGCCCTAACTCTCACCCCAAACCCGCCCTTAACACCAACCCCTCCCCAGCCTAACTCTAACCCCAACTCCAACCCCTTCCCTAACTGTGACCCCAAGCCCAGCCCTACCATAACCTAACCCTAGCCCCAATCCCAATCCTGACCTAACTCTAACCCCAAACCCAGCCTCAAATCTAATCCAACCCAAACCCCAATTCCTAACCCTAACCTAACTCGAACCCCAACCCCAAACCCAACCCTAACCCCTCCCTTAAACTAATTCTAACCCTAACCCAACCCCTACTCTCACCTAAATCTAACCCCAAACCCAATCTTAAACCCAACCCTCACCCAACCCAACCCCCACCCTAACTGACCTTAAACCTAACCCTAACCTAGTCCCAACCCCAACCCGTAACCTAATTCCAACCCCAAACCCAAACTTAACCCCAACTCCTACCCCTCCCTTACCCTAACCCAGCCCCAAACCAAATCGTAACCCCAACCCCTACCTGAACTGAACTCTAACCCAGCCCAACCTCAACCCCAACCCAACCCCAACCCAACCCCAACCCCAACCAACCTCAACCCAATGCCAACCCCAGCCCAACCTCAACCTCAAACCAACCCCAACCCAACGCCAACCCCAGCCCAACCTCAACCTCAAACCAACCCCAACCCCAACCTCAACGTTACCCAACCCCATCCCCAGCCCAACCTCAACCTAACCCCAACCCCAACCTCAACCTAACCCAACCCCATCCCCAGCCCAACCCCAGCCCATCCTCAACCCAATCCAACCCAACCCCAGCCCAACATCAACCCAACCCCAACCCAACCCAACCCCAACCTAACCCAACCCCAACCCCAGCCCAACTCCAATGCAGCCCCAGCCCCCAGCTGCACACTGTGGGTCAGGCAGACCCCTCGCTGGGAATCGGACATTTAAGAAGTGCTGCTGTTTCCCCCTCTGCTGGCAGAGATCTATCGCAGCGCGGCACAGCGGCAGATCGCGGCGCAGCCCGAGGCGCAGTTCGGCCCCAGCAGCTCCGTGGAGCCCATCCAGGTGCTGCCCACGCAGGACGGCCGCCAGGCGCAGTGCTGTCAGAGCATCTGAGCCTCTGCTCAGCGCCTTCCTCAGCGACGCTGCGGGACGCTGCTGTGCGCTGCCTTCCTCCCCGCGTTTATGAAGGACCTGCAGCGAGGGAAGGGAGAAGCATCCCTGTGTTGTATCCATATTTACGTAGGAGCTGCACAAAAGAGAACAGAAGAGCATCTCTTCCTCATCCCTGCACTGGTGTAGGACTTACACTAAGGGAGGGGAGAAACATCTCTGTGTTGTCCCTGAATTTATGTAGGACCCACACGAAAGGGGAGGGAGAAACATCTCCACGTTATCCCTCGTGTTTACGTAGGATCTGCGCCCTCCTGCTGGGGTTTGGGCTGCATCACCCCCCCTGTCACCCCAACGTGTACCCATGTCACCCCCCATGTCACCCCAACGTGTCCCCATGTCACCCCCCATGTCACCCCAATGTGTCCCCATGTCACCCCCCATGTCACCCCAACGTGTCCCCATGTCACCCCCCTGTCACCCCAACGTGTCCCCATGTCACCCCCCATGTCACCCCAACGTGTACCCATGTCACCCCCCATGTCACCCCAACGTGTCCCCATGTCACCCCCCATGTCCTTGCGTCCCCCTGCCACAGTCACGGCAGTTCCAGCAGTCCCTACAAAGGGAAGAGCCTCAGTATCTGCTGGGTATCCTCCCCCCAGGGCAGCTGTGGGGGAGCAGGGGGGTCCCCAGGAGGGCGTCCCCATCACGGGGTGTCGGGGGGGTTGGGGGGTCCCTCTGTCCCTGCTGGGTTCACCTGGGGATGAAGTGGGTGAAGTGGGTGAAGCCCAGTGTGAAGTCAGTGTGGGGGTTCCTGCTGGTCATTTCGGTCCTGGTCAGTTTGGTCCTGGAAGCTCCTGCAGGTCCTTATGGTCCTGGAGGCTCCTGCTGGTCCTCTCGGTCCTGGCCACCCCTTCAGGTCCTCACGGCCCTGGTGACTCCTGCTGGTCGTTCAGCTCCTGCTCGCTGTGCTTCCGGAGCCTCAGGCTGGTTTTTCCGGCCCTGGTCGTTGCGCTCCTGGAGGCTCCTATGGCCGTTGTGGTCCTGGAGGTTCCTCCTGCTGGTCAGTTTTTCTGGAGGCCCTTTCTGGTTGCTGTGGTCCCTGCTTGAGCGAGGCATCGCGTCAGCTCTGTGCCCACGTGGGAGCGGGGCACGAGGAGGAGGAGGAGGGAGGAAGAGCAGAGCAGCGTGGCTGCGGCACTGGGGCAGGAAGCAGCCAGCACCCCCAAAAGAGACAGACAGACAGACGAGAGCAGACGCCGACTTTCTTAAGTAATAATACTTTAATAAAATTAAGTTCTTAATGTAATTTTAGCACATTTAATACATTAACCCTTTCCCTTCTTTGTTTTCTACAAGTTGTGCAACATCATTATTTTAATTTTTTTTTTAATTATTATTATTAATTTTTTTTTTCCTTCTCCCCTTATACTATATGCCTCAAAACTCAGACAACGAGCCTACCTCTACTTCTAGCTTCGGTTATACCTCTCTCGGGCCTTTCTTTTTTTGCGTAATGCCAGAGAGATGGGAATACCTGGATGGAACGCGCGATCGGTTTCCAATAGTAACAATCCCAACTACAGGCTTCCTATGACGTTAAAAGAACGGTAATTAAAAATAAAATAAAATACGGAAAACACAACCCAAGGTACCGAGGAACGGGCTGTAAGCGGAGGGGCAGCACCGGGGGGCAGGAGGGCGTGCGGGGCAGCGGAGAGCGGATGCACGGCGCCACGGGCTGCGCTCTGACTTCCGTGGTTGGGTTCGGGGGTTCATTTCTCCCCCTTTTAATGATCCTCGAGCAGAATTCGTAAGGAAAGAGGAAAAAGGAGTGCTGGCCATCCCGAGGCCAAAGGGCCGCGACCTCCCCCGTCCACTGCGCTGTGCTGCCCCTCGGCACGGCGGCACAGAGCTGCTGTGACACAGAAGGGCGGCGCGGAAAGAAGGCAGGGGGATGCAGAGAGGTGGCTGCACAGGGAAGGAAGGTGGCACAGGTGGTGCAGAAGGGAGGTGGCGCAGAGCGGGACGGCGGCCCAAAGCGCGGCCAAGGAGTGCTGCAATCTGCCGCCAGCCGCCCGGAGAGCTGCTGCCACTGCTGCGCTGACCTCCTTTCTTCCCCCCAATCCAGCGGGACGACTCCGCACTGCCCATCAGTTTCGCTCTCCTGGGGGTGGCCTTCACTGTGCAATGTGGCTCCTGAAGGATGCGACCCCCCCCCCCTTCGTACCCAAACACCCATAAAGTGCATCCGCCCTCCGGCCCGGCGCACTGCTGCCCAATGTCAAGCACTGGCTTTTCTTCAAGTATCAAACCCCGCCCCCCCCCCCCCCCCCAAAAAAAAAAAACAAAAACAACAAAAAAAAAAAAAAAAAAAAACCCCAAATGGGGTAAAATGAAAAGGAAAAGAGGGAAAAGGCCGCTCGCTGCCCCCAGGGGGGGGGGGGAAGGGGGGTGCTGGCAGGGCGGGCGCAGCGAGGGGTGTCCAATTCACAGTGCTATCTGCAGAAACTGAAGGAGAAGTGCCTTCGCTTCCTGCCCTAACCCTACTGCATGGCTTTGCTGAGTGCTGGGAGTGGCCCCCCGTCCCCCCACAGCAATGGCGGTGGTTGGGGAAAGCTTCGGGACCCCCGGGGGGGGGGAAGGGGAACCAACTGAAATGGGGGACAGCGCCCGCAGCGCCACGACGCAACGGAGCGGGGCCAGAGGTTGGTGGGAGCCCCCCGAAGCACGGGATGACATCAGTGTGCTCCCCAGCACTATGGGATGACATTGGTGTGCTCCCCAGCACTATGGGATGACATTGGTGTGCTCCCCAGCACTATGGGATGACATCAGTGTGCTCCCCAGCACTATGGGATGACATCAGTGTGCTCCCCAGCACTATGGGATGACACCGGTGTGCTCCCCCCAAACCATGGGATGACAGCAGGCACGGGTGCAGCGATACACAGAGTGCAGAGCGGCGGAACACAGCCCCAAAGATGCACACCGAGACGTTCAGAGGTCCTTCCCCACAACGCGACCCCAATGCCACAAATCCCAAACCCACACACCATAAATCCAACACCGAACAGCGAAGGGAGCGAACTGGCCCCACCTCACCCCGAGCACGGGCTGGGTGCCAACGCGCAGCCCACATCCAACTCTGAGTTGGATGAGGTGACCTCCAAGGGTCCCTTCAAACCCGAAGGATTTCATGCCCCGGTGGCTCCGAGGGCACCGACTGCACCGTTGCTCCTTCCCATGGGACGGAGCCTTCTGGTCGGACCCTGCACAGCGCAGTCGGCGATACTGGCAGTAGGTGGATGGTTGGATTTGTTGGAAAAGACCTCCAAGCTCATCCAGTCTGACCCCGTGCCATGGCCACCGGGGCTCCGAGGGTCTCCAGAATCGTTCAGGTTTGGAGGAGACTCTAAGATCGTCCTCAGAGGTGCTGTGATCTCACGAGCGGGCGCAGAGATGGGTTGGCTGCGCTTGACGGCCCCGCAGGTCTCCTCCAACCTCAGTGACTCAACACACGGGCACGGTGGTGATGGGTTGGGGTTGGAATGGATGATTTTCAGCCTCATCCAACCCAGATGATTCCCAACACCATGGGGAGCCGGCGGCACTGCGGAGCACATGGGTGGAATGGTCAAGGAATTCCCCACGGAAAGCTCTGCTGCTCAGGGCTGGAGGTGGGAATAAGGCAGCAGAGAATGGCCTCAAGCCTTCTCATTTCTGCTCAGCAACGAGCCAAACCCTCCTATTTTGTTCTTAAAAAAAAAAAACAAACAACAAAAACGAGAGAAACGACCGCCATCAACGCAAAATGCATCTTATTGAAACAACACGCGTGACCCCATCATTCATTATTCATATTTCCCCCCTCTATAAGAACAACCCCGGGGGCTGTGGGAAGCTCGGCGCTGCGCCCCGCGTCCGTCGCTGCGCTCGGAAAAACAGCACCAAAAAACCCCAACCGAAGCCAAAAGGCCGGAGCTGCGGGGCGGCGCTTCGGCGAATCCGGCGCGCCTCAGCCCTGGGCCGGCGGGGCGGGGAGCAGCCGCAGCTCCGAGCGCTTCGTTTCGTTTCACTCTTCACTCTAAGATTCTATGAATAAATTGGAGCCTTTATTCTTCTTCTTCTTAACTTTTTTAATATCCATCAACTTTTTTTTCTTTTCCCTCTCCTCCTTTTTTTTTTTTTTTCTTTTTTTTTTCTTTTTTTTTCTTTTTTTCTTTTTTTTTTTTTGGTTCAAAACAAACGGGAAAACAAAACAAAACAAAACGACGAATCACCTTTTCGCATCCTCTCCTTCTCTGAAAGGCGAAGGAGCAGAAGCGGCCGCGGGGCCGAAGTCGCAGCGGAGGCGGCAAAAAACCCCAAACAAAGAGGGCTGCTTTTGTTTTGCTCTCCTCCACCGAAAAAAAAAGAAGAAAACGACCCTTTTCCTCCCCAAAGCGGCCGTTTCGCTCCTGCGGCTGGGATCGGCTTCTCCCTTTCTGTTTGCACCCCTCGACGCGGCCGCGGTGCCGATGATTCCCGCAGGCGCCGCGCACAGCGAAAAGGAAACATATATTAACCACACTTTGTGAGCCATACTCTGCATACAAACGTATTATTCCTTTTTTTTTTTTTTAACCTACATATATTCTAAACCTTCTAAACTTTTAAGGATCACTTTATCATAAAATAAAATATCCTTTTTTTTTTTTTCTTTTCTCATAATAAATTACCTAATAAAAAGTATTTTTATGAGCCCAGTTCCTTGCTACATTTACACGTAATAAATGCCTTTATTAAAATAGAATATTAAATTATAAAGAAATGTTCTAATTTTTAAAATCTTCATCTTATTATTATTCTTTTTTTTTTATTTTTTTCCCTCCTCTCTCTCCCTCTCTTTAAAAAACACCAAAATAAACCCTTGCGGACACCGAAGCGGCGGCGGAGCGTCCCGGTCCGCGGATTTAACAGTCTGAGCCTTTGGACGTGCGGAGATTTTCTTTGTTCAGAAAGGAAGAAAAGAGAAAAAAAAACATCACGGATTCCCCTCCGAGCTGCAAAATTCGCCTGGGGGCCGGGGGGGCGGGGATTCCCTGCCGGATCTCCTCGCTACGAACCCCGCCGCTTCCCTCCTTGCCGCGCGCAGCCACGCGCTGCCCTGCGTTCACACCGCTGGCGACGGCGCGGGACCCCCGGCCCCCTCCGCCACCATCCCGGCCCCCTCCGCCCGTTCCCGTCTCCCCCCCGGCCCCCAGCACCCACTGCCGGCGCCGGGACCCCCGGCACCCATCGGGACGGGGCCGCAGAGCTCGTCGGAACGTTATTGCTGGTGACCAGAGCCCAGCGAGCCGCCGCCTCGCCTCTCCGCGAAGATCCAACTCAGAGCAGGCGCTTCATTAAGGTCATGGGCAATTATTATTATTCTTATTTTTTTTTCTTCTTCTTTTTTTTTTTTTTTGAGATTTTTTAAATTTTTTTTCTATATATATATATATACATATATTAAAAAAAAAAAAAAAAAAAAAAAACAAACACAAAAAAAAAAAAAAAAAAAAAAAAAAACAATCAAAAAAGTAGGCAAATGTTGTTGCGAAGCCCCCGCGGTCGCGGCGCCCCCCCGCTCGGAGGTATTGCTGCACCACCGCGCCCGCGGTCCTTTCTTGCGCAGCTGCTACATCGAAAAGAGGGAGGAGGAGCGGGGGGGGGGCGGGGGGACGCAGGAGAACCCAACACAAAACCGGGGGCCGCCGACTGCCATTCGTTTCCGACTAGAGCTGCTACATCAAGCTTTCTTTCGGTATCTCTGGATCTGGATCTGCACACTTCTATCCATCAAGGGGACCGGGACGGCAGCTTTTACCCAAGGCCGACGCGGAGACCCGAGCAGGAGCCCCCGGGACACACGGAGCCCCCGCTTCCCACCAGCAAGCGTGGATGTTTGGTTGGGTCCTCATTCCTTTACGCATTTCATTTTATTATTAAATTTTAATTCCTTTTTTTTAAGAAAGGTCTTTTTTTTTTTTTTTTTTTTTTTTTTTTTTTTTTTTTTTTTTTTTTTCCTTTTCTCTACCGTTTACTTTTTCCAGCATGCAGGAGGCTTTTACATCGTTTTTTGCTTGCTAGGGGAAGGGCAGAGACAAAAGGAGCGGCCAAGGAGCCCCTCGCCTCCCCCGCCCCACTCCCCAGGGTCAGTGCTAGCACGGCTCCCCCCCGCCCCAGATCTCTCCTTCCCCCCTCCCCGCTCCCACCCACCTCTTCACAACCTGGCATCAAAGAAAGACATCGACCAAAAACTTGCTCACATTACCACGAACAGACTTCACTCAGCCAAGAACGACTACAGTCACTCAACTAACAGCGCGGCCTCCGGGGGCTCGGCCAGGGAAGCGCTTCAGCCATCGTCCCCTTTCCTGCTCCAGCCCCTCTGGTCCCGCACTGCACAGCCCCTAACGCCCCTCGAGCGCTGGTTGGAGCCCCGCAGCGCAGCGCTCCGTTCCCACCAGCAGGAGAACGTGGCACAGCGAGCAGCTGCAGGGCGACCGCTGGGCTTCAACGCACTCTTGGGCTCCAGCACCACCACTGGGACTCAAATGCAACCACTGGACTCCAACACAGCCGCTGGGCTTCAACGCAACCATTGGAGCTGCAACGCCACCATGGGGCCCCAACAAACCATGGCCTCCAATGCCACCATGGGGCTCCAACAAACCATGGGCTCCAATGCCACCATGGGGCTCCAATGAACCGTGAGATTTCAACGCAACGCTGGAGCTCTGATGAAACCATAGGGGCTCCAATGCAACATTTGGGGGCTCCAACGCAGTCACTGGGGCTCCAACACAACAGTTGGGGCTGCAATGCAATCACTGGGGCTCCAATGCAACGATGGGGCTCCAACGAACCGTGAGACTTCAACACAACTATGGAGCTCTGATGAAACCACTGGGGCTCCAATGCAATCATCGGGATCCAACGCAACAACTGGGGCTGCAACGCAATCATTGGGGCTCCAACACAACAGTTGGGGCTGCAATGCAATTATTGGGGCTCCAATGCAATCACGGGCTCCAAGACAACAATTGGGGCTGCAACGTAATCATTGGGGCTCCAACGCAACCATGGGGCTCCAATAAACCACCAGACTTCAATGCAACCGTGGAGCTGTGACACAACCGCTGGGGCTCCGACGCAACCACGGGGCTTCAAAGCAACCACTGGGCTCCAAAGCAACCCGGGGGCATAGATGCAGTGCAGGTGTTGGCACGGAGGGCTCAGAGCACCATCAAGCCCCCAAACCCCCTTGTGGGGACTAAACCAAAGCCAGACTCGGAACAAGAACCAGGTTTAGGAAGGACGCGGCCGAGGCTGCGCCCAGCCCAACACATGTTCACATCCCGGTCTGCTGTGGGCGCACAGCGCAGCGCGTGGGGAACCAGAGGGTTCTGAAAGCTCTGGGGAGGAGGCGAGCACACATCCGACCCGACAGCATCCCTTCAGCACAGCATCTCTGTTCTTTTTTTCTGCAATATCAGCATCCACTGCAGAACCAGGAACAGAGCCCAGCCCTCCGTCCACCTCTCGCTGCCTATGGTCGTAATTTTACCACTGATGCCAAACGGTGGAGAGATACCCGTTGGTGCCCATCCACCCGCATACGGAGGGCGAAACCGAGCAGAAGAGGGGATGTTCCCAAGAACAGCGCTACGACGGAATGGAAGTCTCCTGAAACCCAAGGGAAAGAAAAGATTCGTGGGCGATTTCGATAACGACAAGTATTATTATTTTTTGCTGTAGAACTGTCGCAGCCAAGTTGTGCAACTCGTTGGTTCAGCTCTAAATTCGGGTCTGGGATCTGCGAGGGGCAGGAAGCGGGGCGGGAGAAGACGAGAGAAACACCGCTGTACAACCAGCCCGGCGCTGGCAGGGCGGCGTGCCTTCGTGTGCGCGGGGCTGCCTGGCTGCTGGCTCAGTCCAACGCACATCTTTACCACTGAGGCGTTTCGGTGTCCGGAGAGCAGCTGAACCGACCCGAATCCAAAACCAGCCGTCTGTCGCTGGCACAGGGCTGGGTGCCCACGGATGCCCATCCTCCCCCACTTCCCGACGGTCAACCGAAGGATCGGAGCGAACGGAACCAGCAGTCTTGAAATGACCGAAGGATGTTCGACAAGGCAATTCTTGTTTTTTTTTTTTTGCTTTTTTTTCTTTTTTTTTTTTTTTTCTGTTTCCTTCTGAAAAAAATAGAATGTATAAAAGCGGCCAACCTCAGGAAGATCCACGCAACGGACAGCTGGAGAGGTTTTGGTCCATAAAGAAATACTTCTGTATTTTATTATTATTTTTTTTCTTCTTTTTATTCCCCCCCCAACTCGGCGTCGGGTCACAAAACTTTTGGTCCGGCTTAAAAACGACGACAACAAAATTAAATCTCTGTAAAACCCGGCTTTCGCGCTCGGTCGCCGCCTTTCATTTTTTGCCTCACCGTCGGGACGCGCCGCTTTCCCGCACCGCCGTCTCTCTTCGGCCCCGGCGCGGGGAAAGGGAAAGGAAAGCACCGTGTGTGGAAATACCCTGTGAGCGGCAGGATCCGGCCCTGCGGAGGAGGAAGGAGCGAGGCGAGGAGCGGAGGAGGCGGCTCGGCCCGCAGCCCCTTCCAGCCCCCTTCAGCCCCGCCGCCGCGCCGCCGCTCTGGCTCTTATTGTTCTCATTTTTATCGGTAAAAAAAAAAAAAAAAAATTCTTTTTTTTTTTGCCTTTTTTTTTTTTGCCTTTTTTTTTTTTTTTTTAGAAAAGTGACAAATTAAAAAAAAAAAGAAAAAAAGGAAAACGATCAAAGTTCTCTTTAGCTGCTGCGGTTTTGTGTTTTTTTGTTTTAATCTTTGAGGTAATACAGTTGTGCCCTCGTTCCAACAGGTTCCCAGAGGTCGGTGGTTTCTTTTTTTTTTTTTTTTTTTTAAATATTATTATTATTATTATTGTTATTATTCTGTTTTTCTTTGTGTTTTTTTTCCTTTTTCTCTTCCAATCTCCGATGGCCGTTCCCATCTCATCCCATCCCATCTCATCAACTCATCTCATCTCCTCTCCGTTTCTGAGCCCCGCTGCAGCTGAGGCCCTCAGGGGTGGCGCAGGGAGGCAGCGGGGCTTCGAGGGGCGGGGGGCCGGCGGGACCCCCCCCCTCCTCCATCATCCAGCGCCGACGAACCTCAGTGCCACCCCAGGGCAGCGACCGCAGCGCTGTGCTGCGCGGTGTGGCTGCGCCCCCAGCTTCGTCCTCGGAGGAGGAGCTGCAGGTGGAGCCTCCTCTGCCCCCCGGCTCCCGGCTTTGCGCTTCGCTCCCTGCTTCACCCGCTTCTCTTTTTCCTGTAGCTTTTTTTTTTTGTAAAAAATAACCTACGTCGCTCGTAAAATAATTTTCTTTTTTTTTTTTTTTTTTTTCTTCTTACTTCTTCTCCTTTAAATTAATTTATCCTTTCCTTCGTTTGTTCTTCAGGTCTCATTATTATTATTATTATTATTATTAATTATTATTACCTTCGTTTCTCTCTCCTGGCCCCCCCCCGCTGCCCCTCCCCGCGCTCCCACCCCCCGCCCTGGCTCTGTCTCTTTAGGAAAATATTCTAATGGCCTGAGTGGCTGCAGCGTGGCACACCGGGCACTCGGGGTCAGTCCTCTCGCAGATCCTCACGGCGCACTCCATGCAGAAGAGGTTATGGCCGCACGGCACCAGCGCCGCCGTCACTTCGCTCTCGAAACACACCATGCACTCGCGGCTGCTGGAGACGGACGTCCGGGCAGCGGCGGTGCTCCCCAGTTTGGAAAAGCCCTGGAGCGGCTCCCCCTGGGACCGCCGAGGGAGAGCGGAGAGGTTGGGCTCCTGGATGGAGGAGGACGGCGAGCGGTGGGAGTTGGGGTGGATGGCGCCGGTGCTGCTGGAGCGCTGCTGCTTGGAGAAGAGCACCGAGACCGGGTTGGCGTTCTCCTGCCCGGCCCACATCGGGGCGCCCGACTCCGGCACGCCGTAGTACAGATCTTGCTTGTTGACGCCGTAGTTGGGGAAGAGGTAACCGTAATTGAAGTCGTTTTGGTCGTTCAGCCGTGGCGTCTCGTAGACCGGATCCACCGCGCAGTCCCCGATGCAGCCCAGGCTGTTCTGCCGGAAGGTGGAGAGCGGCTTGCAGCCCGGCGCCGGTGTGTGCACCCGCCAGGCCTCCGAGTAGCGGTTCTCCATGCTGGAGTCGGGGCTGCTGGACAGGAAGTCGTTCTCGTTGTTGTACTCCAAGATCTTGCCCGTCCTCACGGCGATGTGGGTCTCGATCTCCTCCCGCGCGCGCTCCACGTTGCCTGGCGCGCCGGTGATCTCGAAGACTGGATCTCGGTCCCGGCTGGGCGTGATGATGTAGGTGTTGGTTTGCTGCTGGATCCTCTTGATGGTGGCTCCTTTCGGGCCCACCACCAACCCCACCACGCGGTAGGGGACGCGAACCCGGATGGTGACCTGGCCCGGCAGGGTGGGCGCGCTGCCGAACGTGGTGCCGGCCTTGTTGCGCGACGCTCGGATCATGGAGAAGTGCTCGGCCGCCGAGATGATCTCCCTCCGTGCCATGGCCACGTCCTCGCGCCGCCCCGTCACCATGAACACCGGCTCCTCGCCCCGCACCGGTGTCTTGATGTACGTGTTGGTCTTGGCCCGCAGAGCTTTGATCTTGCAGCCTTGGAGGAGAGAGGAAAAGAGAAATGAAGGGTCAGGAAGGCCGCACCAACACCAGCCCTCCGCCACGGGAAATCAGCATCAAGCAGCCGCGGCTGAGGGGCATGGAGCACGGCGGAGAGATTTCAGTCCCCCCAACACCAATGGGTGACTGCCGGCAGCAAAACCCACAGACAAATGTCAGAGGAAGGTTTTCCCATCGCCATCCCCACAGTCCCCAGAAGGCGCTGCCATTTTCTGCATCCCACCCCACCAAACCATACAAACCCCACTGCTCACTGCATCCCACCCCATCAAACCATACAAACCCCACTGCTCACTGCATCCCACCCCATCAAACCATACAAACCCCACTGCTCACTGCATCCCACCCCACCAAACCATACAAACCCCACTGCTCACTGCGTCCCACCCCATCAAACCATACAAACCCCACTGCTCACTGCGTCCCACCCCATCAAACCATACAAACCCCACTGCTCACTGCATCCCACCCCCTCAAACCACACAAAACCCCACTGCTCACTGCATCCCACCCCACCAGACCCCACTGCTCACTGAAGCCCCTATGGCAGCTGCTGGGGATGGAGGCTGTCCCCCCGCCTCCCCTCCCCACCATGGTGGCCCAGGCCTTTCTCCAAGGCCGCTCACCATGTTGTCCACTTGTGACACCAGTGCTGAGCCCCTGAGCCCACCAGCACTGTTCCCACAGCTCCTGAAGCCCTGAAAACGTCCTTCTGCTCCCCCACACAGGGCTGTGCAGTGTGCTATGGCGCTTTCTCCAAGGGCTGAGACGCAGCGGTGTGGCTCGTTCCTATACGACAGGTTCCTGTAAGACTACCAGTTCCTGCACAGCTCTGGGTTTTTGCACAGCTCTGGGTTCCCCCACAGCTCTGGGTTTCCACACAGCTGACTCTCAGTTCTGACACAACTACTGGCTCCTGAGTGACAGCCAGTTTCTACATGACTACTGGTCCCTACACAAACCCCAGTTCCTACACAACCTCTGCTCCCTAAATGACTATCGGTTCCTACACGGCTGCCAGTCCCTGCACAACTACTTGCTCCTACACAGCTACTGGTTCTTGAGCAACAACCAGACCCTCTGGCTTATGGGCACGGTAGAGATGGGTCGGGTTGGGCTTTAAGATCTCAGAGCTCTTCTCCAACCTGAATGATTCTATGATTCTTTGGCCATGGGCACGGGAGGGACGGGTTGGGTTGGACTTGGCGATCTTGGACATCTTCTCCAACCTGAGCAATTCTCTGGTTCTCCTCTGCCCAGAAGAAGCCCATCTCTCTCTCCTCACTCACCCGACACCGTGCTGCCACCACACTTCTACCACTAAAGATCCACCAACGATGCTTCTAGAACCAAGAAAATTGGATTCCTCGCCCGGTGCGCCATGGTGAGCTCACACAGCCCAGTGCAACCCAGACCCCAACTGACAGCACCGCCTCTCCCCGATGTCCGGGGCTGACGCTCGCTCAGCGTTCATCTCCTGGTGCTCAATTTGTGCCGTTGCGCAGGAACACAAAAAGACACAACCACAAAGAAATCCTCTGGGGGTAAAATCAGAACCCCACAGCCGTCACAGCAGCAGGAATTGCACCCCACACCGGGCACAGCCCAGAGCTCCGGCCGCACGGCGCACAGCCCCACGGCTGCCGTCGCACGCACGACACCGCGCCGATGCAGGAGGGCATTGCGACGACGGCACTCGGCTCCAAAACGCCTTTTGCAGCTTTGGCACAGGTGGGGAAGGCACGATGCACAAATCCCAGCCCTGCTGCAGAGTCGCAGCACAGCTTTCAACTCCTGGCAGTTATTTGCACGCGCTGAGCGCTCGCTCCTTTGCTGTACGATGGAGAGGACGGCCCTGAGCTGCGCCAAAACCCGAATACTGAACACGGTGACACTGCTGCACCCAGCGCAGCTCCGGGGCGCTGATCTCACACTCCTGGGGGTTGGAAATGTGGGATTTGGTGCAGAGAAAGAGCAAAGCCCAAAGCCCAACCCCACGCCGCCGATGCGTCGCTCCACACTGAGCTCACACCCCAAATCCATCGGCGCTGTTTTCTTTAGGAAAGTTTTGCAGCAGCTGCTGCGGAGCGGCAGATGTGTTGTGTTCAAAATGCGGACCGGTTGTCTGCAGGTTCTGCTGCTGGGACTCGGGAAACCCCAGCAAAGAGCAGCGCTGGGCATTGACACAGCTGTGCGATGAGAGCAAAACCACGAAGGAACGGCTCCAAGGGAGCAGCAGAATGGGATGGGGCCAAGTGTGGCCATCGCAGCCCCCATGCAGGACGTGGGGCCACGCGTCAGCCCCACAGCTGCAATGCTGGATCCAAGGATGGAGATGCATCTCAGGAAGACGATCCCAAAGCCCAACCCAACCCCCACCCCGCGCAGCCGACGCGTCGCTCCACGCTGAGCTCACACTCCGAAATCCATCTGCGCTGTTTTCTTGAGGAAAGTTTTGCAGCAGCTGCTGCGGACCGGCGGTGACCTGCAGCACCGTGCTGCTGGGAGTCGGGAAACTCCAGCAGAGAACAGCACACAGCAGGCACGGCACAGCGTGCAATGCAAACACCGAAAGGCTCCCCTGGGGGAACGGGGACAAACGGTTTGGGGTCTGCAGTCCCCAGGCAGGGGATGCACATCAGCCCCGCAGCTGCAGTGCCGGCTCTGAGGATGGAGATCTGCCTTAGGGAGAGGAACCGAATGCCACCACTTCCCCCCAGGGTCGCACCGAAGCACTGCGTGGGGAGAGAAGGGGAGATCACCGCGCTGGGGGTGACCCCCGTTGGCTGTCCCCAGGGTGGAGGGTTTGCATGAATCCCTCTTCTGAGGGCTGCAGGTACTGTCAAGGTTGGGTGGGGGGTTTTTAACGCTGTGGGACAATGCCGTGTTGGGGGGAGAGAGCAGCACCAAGGGGAACAGTCGTGGAGGTGACACTGAGAGTCCGAGCGGTGACAAAGGATGGGGGCTCCGAGCTGGGGACAGATGGGGAACGGTGGGAACACACGTGAGCGAGGGCGACTCAGAGCCTGAGACGGGGGGAAGGATGGGGGAATGGTGGCAGGAATGAGGGAGAGGGGAGCCAGAGCAAATGGGGGAGGACGGGGGTGCGGGGGGCAATGGGGGACCCCAAAAAGGGAATGAGATGGAGAGAGCGTGGCGAGAGGAGAGAGGGAAGATGGAGCGGCGGACAAAAGGACGCGTGGTGCAGCGGTGGTGTGAGGAGGGGGGGGAGGAGGAGGAGGAGGAGGAGGAGGAGGGAGGGTCTGCGCGGCCCTGCAGACAGGAAAGGCGGCTTTGTGCAGGCAGACAGATGGGGATCCTGCGCCGTGCTGAGCAGGACAATCAATGACCCCGTGGGGATGGGGAGCAGCGCGGTGCTCTGGCACAGCCACAGCACGGGGTGGGCAACGCACTGCCCAACTTCCAGAGCACTGCACTGATCTCCACTCACCCTGATCTGATCCACACACCCCAATCTGATCCACCTTTCCCAATCTGATCCACCCTCCCTGATCTGATCCATCCTTCTTGATCTGATCCACCCACCCCAATCTGATCCACCTTTCCCGATCTGATCCACCCACCCCAATCCGATCCACCCACCCCAATCTGATCCACCTTTCCCGATCTGATCCCGATCTGATCCCGATCTGATCATCTGATCCACTCGCCCCAATCTGATCCACCCACCCAATTCTGATCCACTGCTCCACATCGCAGCCCCCATCATGAAACCCCAGGAGCTGAGCCCCCCCTCCTCCCCCAGCAGCCCCATCCCCAGCAGAGCAGGCGAGGGCCCTTTATGGCGCTGCATCAAAATGAAATCTGCCCCCCCTCCCACCTCCCTGCTTCCCTCCACGTATGTTTGTGTTTTTCCCCATCTCCATGCGGAGCTGAAGCCCCCACAGCGGTTTTGCTTGGGGTCGCAGCGCGCGGCACAAAAACGCGAAGCAAAGCGGAGCAGAGTGCAGTTTCCACTGCCCGGATCCTTTCCTTCTGCCGCGCTCCCTTTTTTCTCTTTGCCCACAGCACTGATCCCAAACCGGTTCGCGTTTCGTGTGATTTCTTTTTCTTTTTTTTGACTTTGGCCAACGGGCTCCAAGTGAAATGTGTTTGTTCAGCTCCCATAGAGATCCACAAACACTCAAAGCAGAGGCAAACCTGAAACACCCAACTGGGACCAGTGCCTGAACAGCACTGGTAACAAAGAAATGCAGGAACCTGGTCTAGAAATGGACAAATCCTATCTAAAAATGCCCTAGAAATCAGAAATTTGGACTAGAAACAACTCAGTCTGGTCTGGAAATGACTAAACCTGGTCTTGAAATGGATAAACCTTGTCTCCAAATGACCAAACCTGTCTGGAGGTGGGTGAATCTGGTGCAGACATTGCCCAGGTGTGACGGCCCCTCCGGCTCCCGTCCAAATGCAAAGGTCCTGGGAAATCGGGAAAGGGGGGACGGGGCTCTGGGACACAGCGCCAAAACTCTGCCCTGCGTGAGCAGCGAACAAAATCCGCCCGAGGTAAAGGAAGGGTTGAGGAGCCCCTCTGCTCGCGGGGCGACGCGGCTGTGGGACGTGGCCCATCCGCCTTCAGCTCTGTGCAGACTCATCCCGAACCGTTCCAAGCTCAGAGCACCGCAAAGCCATCGGGATTCCACAGCATTGACCACAAGGTGTGGCGAAAGGCCCCGAGCGCAGCCTGAGTGCCAACGTGAGCAACGGGAACGGGCAGAGCCAGCGGGACGGAGCCAGAGGGATGTGAAGAGCTGTGGGACACAGCGCCAAGGGGAAATGGGAACTAAGAACAGCAATGGGAAATGGGAACGCACGGCATCAATGGGAAATGGGAACACAGCATCAATGGGAAATGGGAACACACAACAGCAATGGGAAATGGGAATGCACAGCATCAATGGGAAATGGGAATGCACAGCATCAAGGGGAAATGGGAACACATAGCATCAATGGGAAATGGGAACACACAGCATCAATGGGAAATGGGAACACACAACAGCAGTGCCAGCAGGACGGCGCAGTGGGAAACACGACATTCCCAGTGCAGTGGTTTTCCTACAGTTTCCACTCCAGCTCCCAGCCATTGAGCCCGGCCCTGATGGGGCTGGAAGGGCCGACGCCAGGCCGGTGGCACAGCTGGAGGTCTGCGCCGCTCTGCTGGGTCCCACGGTGAGCAGCAGGCGCAGCCCCCACCACTCTTCCTATCACAGAAACCAGAAGGGTGCATTTCTTTCTTTGGTGCGATAGAAAACCATTTGAATGGACAAAAGATTTGGGGTTCTCACTGACACTGGGGCTCCTTCCCACAGCTCCGCCTGTAGGACCCTGCAGACAGCGCTCTGACGTCGCTGCGTGGTGAAAAAGGAGCCGGTGGGCACAGCAGGATCACAGAGTCATGGAATCACAGAATCAGGGAACCACAGAATCACAGACTGGTTTGGGTTGGCAGGGACTCAAGGATCACGAATCTCCAACCCCCCGCCACACGCAGGGCTGCCAGCCTTTAACACTGGCCCAGGCTGCCCAGGGCCCCATCCAACCCGGCCCTGCACACCTCCAGGGACCTGCAGGGATCAGGATCCACTCTTTTTTGCCGTTACGTCGTGAAATGAAAGAGGGCCCCAACACCAGCAGCCGCCCCACGTCCCCAGCGAGGTGGGCGCTTCTGCCATCGAAGACAACACAAAGACCCCGGTGGAGATGTGTGGGGTGAGGGCACTGATAGCCCTCTGCTCGGGGGTCTGCAGTGCCGGTGATGCCAGGAGTTGTGCTGACGAGGAGGGTGGAAAAAAGTTAGAGAGGGAAAAAAGGAATCGACAGGCAGGAAAATGAAGGAGCGCTCATCGCGGTGCGGCGGCGCCGGGAGTTGGATGAAAGTTGTGTTAAAACCAAAAGACACCAACACAAAACCAACGCAGAACCCAACAGAACGCGACCCCGCAGACAATCGGCGCCTTGTCTGCGCCGGGGGGAGGAGGGGGGATGTGAGCGTCCCACCGCACCGCCCCGCATCGCCCCGCACCGCCTGGGTGCGCCCACGGCCCCGTGCGATGCGATGCCATGCGATGCGACGCCGCACACGAGTGGGGCCGGGAGGGGGGGGCAGAACACCGCCAGACAAAGGCGGCGGAAGGAGCGGGGGGTGGGGGCGGGGGGCACGTTCGCCCACTGCCCTACATTTGGGCTCCGGCATCCCGAGCCCGGCTCCGCTCCGCGCCGTCTCCCTGCAGCGTTCCCTTTGTTTCCCTCCCAGCCCCATTTTCTCCTCCCACCTCCGGTTGGAGCGGCTCGAAGTCGCTCCCGCGGCGCCGCACTTTTCCCCGGTGCAAATTTTGGACGGATCCCTCAGCATCTCTTCCCAGCCGGGGCCCGACACCGAGCGCGGCTCCGCTCACCCGTCCCCAAGCGCCGAAGCGCAGCGAGCGTCGGCCCCGCCACGCACCCGTTGCGACGCGCCCCTCCGAACGCCCTCCGTCCCCTCCGCCCGTCCCCACGGGGCTGCGAGCTGCGCTCGGACCCCCCCGGCATTCCCTGGAAGCGTCGGAGCGCTGCTTGGGGGACACAAAAAACCCCACAGCGGGGTCAGCGGGGCTTCTGCCGGGCTTCACCTTGCCGAGAAGGAGCGATGCTCCCGTCGCAGAGCTCCTTCCCGCTGACAATGGGGCGGGAGACGCTCCTCCGAAGGGCGGCTCCGGCTCCGGGTGACAATGGACGCGGCCGCTGCTGACAGCAGCATCACGGCCCGGTGGGAAGGCTCTGCGGGCCCCGCGGCGCTCCCAGCAGCAGGAAGCCGAAGGGGCCTCGGCCCTCTCCCCGCGCACAAAGGAACCCACACCCAGCCCTCCCGCGGAACCCCACAGCCATCCCGGCTCCGTGGGTCAGAGGCAGCGGAGCGCGGCCCGGCAGCGAAGCGAGAGCGGCGCCGTCCTCGCGCCCCCCCGCGCCTCCATCGCTCTGGGGATCTCCGTGCGACACCGTGGTGACCCTTCCCAGCGCCGCCAGCGCAACCACACCCTCGGGGTGCGATGGAGGAGGGCCTCACCACCTCTTCTGCCTCAGAACCTCATCCCAAACCGCATCCCAAATCCTGCGAGGCCCTCGGGCGCTTCCGTGCTGCACTTCGGCAAACACACCGCTCAGCTCCGGGTGCCGGGGAGGTCGGTGCCAAACGCAGAGCTGGAAGGGACGCCCCGCGGGCTCCGGAGCTCACGCCACCTCCGAGGCCACGCAGCTGCCTGCACCGAGGAAGAAGAGGGCACACGGGGAGGTGAAATTCCCTTTGGCCGCCACTCACCTCGGCCAGAGCAGAGGGAAGAGGTCACACATCGCACAGCGCCGCTGCTCCGACCGCCCCCTCCTCATTCCTTCCCTCCAGCCCCCCACTCTGGAGGAGCAGCTCCAGATGCCTCCAACCGAATCCCCTGATCCCCCCAGCTCAGGACTCCACGCCGTCCCGGCACAGACACCACGGCACCCAGCACCACTGGGAACCATAAAATCACGGAGACTGGGAGAGGCTGAAGCACCGTTTGAGATCAGCGCCCGTCCCAGCGCTGCCACGAGCGTCTGGGCAACGTGGTCTCAAGCAATGTGGTCCGCAGCCAACAGAGTCTATGGCCAACGCAGCCTGTGGTCAACCTGGTCTGCAGTCAGATGTGGTCTCCTGCCAACGTGGTCAACATGGCCAACATAATTTATGTTGAACACGGTCTACGGTCAACATAAGCCATGGCCAACGAGGTCTGCAGTCAATGCAGTCAACTGCCAGTGCAGTTTATGGTTAACATGGTCAATGGTCAACGTGACGCACAGTCGCATGGCCTACAGCCAACACGGCCCGTGGTGAACGTGGGCCCTGCACAACGTGCGTGGTGGACGTGGTTAAGTGGGGGATGATGGTGGAGGTGGTGGATTTGGTGGAGGTGGTGCAGGTGGTGGAGGTGGTGGATTTGGTCCAGGTGGTGGATTTGGTAGATGTAGTGGATTTGCTGGATATGGTGGAGGTGGTGGAGGTGATGGAGGTGGTGGATTTGGTGGAGGTGATGGAGGTGGTGGATTTGGTGGAAGTGATGGAGGTGGTGGATTTGGTGGAGGTGGTGGATTTGGTGGAGGTGGTGGATTTGGTGGAGGTGGTGTAGATGGCAGACGCGGCCCATGGGCAGCGTGCTCCAAGGTCGATGCAGTCTACAGTCCAGAGCCATGCAGCCTACGGTCAACGCGCCTCCAGCCAACCCAAGCTGAAGGCGCCAAGCTCGAGCTGAGCTCCCGCGGTGCCTTCCAGACAAATCAGAGCCCCCACAACCAAACCTCCCCCCTGCCCACGCTTCACAGCCACGCTGACCCAAACACCTGCAGCCAAGCTGTGGCCGAGTGCCTGCAGGCCCCTCCAGCACCACCAAGGGCATCTTCCATCGATGGCCCCGCGCTGCACGGGGGCACAGGGAGGGTCCCCACGCCCAGGCCCAGAGCTCCCCCCCGTTTCCACGTCCAGCGGTGGGAACCGCGCCGTCCCACCAGGAAGGAGCGCAGCGCTTCGTCCGACCACAAAGCACCAAAAGCGCGAAGAAAACTCCGCCGTGCCACCGCCGAAAGCCTTCACCCAACTTTCATTTCGGTGGCGCTTCTTCTTCCCTCCCCTCCTCCCCCTCTCTTTTCCAATGGGGGGTGAGAAATCGGTACCCCCTACCCACGCTCTGCCCATCGCAGGATCGCCAGGGTGCGGGGGGGGGGGGTCCCCCTCTGCCAGGGGCAGCACGGGATGCGGCCCCCGGTGTGGGGCACGGCCTGACCCGACCACTAACGCTTCCCAGATGTGGGAAAAGCCTCACGCACACAAAAGATGGTGGAAGGAACCTCCAAGCATCGCAGGCTGACACCAAACGCGGCCCCTGGTGTGGGGTGGCAGCAGGACCCGATGGGGGGGCAGGGGGGGACTGAGCCGGGATCCCCAGTCAGCATCCCCACCCTCACCCCACGGCTCCTCCTCCCCTTCTGAACTTTCCCAAACAAAGGGAAGCCCCGCACGGTGCCCCCCCAGCGGCGCTGAGCTCTCAGGGTGGAAGACGAACCGAACCCCC